TCTCTCTCTCTCTCTCTGTCACTCACATTTACACACACGCGCATGCGTGCCGCGCGCAAACCAAGTCAGTCTTCTCTTTCCGCGCTGGAACACTGGCAGAAAAATGCACTGCGTCGAAGGTGCAACGCGAAGCGAGCCGAGCTCACAGCCCTGGTTTCAAGAAGTGGCGGAGAGCCTGCCCCAGCTGCCTGGTCTCCAGTGGTGCTTGAGACGCGGAGACAGGGAGTAGCAGTTAAGGGATTTCCGAGACAGCAGAGCCAACAAGCGCGTACACTTTTCCGTTTTGGCTGAGTATTTAGGTTTGGTTTGGCTGAGTGATGTTCTGTATACAAGCCTTCGCGCTGCTGAAGCAATTCCTTCTACTGAATCCTGCTCTTATGGCGGCATCGCCGGGTGCGTTTGCAACTGGCAGTCTATCGCCCGCATATTGCAACTTGACATGTTGTTTCGTTTCAATGCGTGCGACCTTCGGCTGGTGTGTCATGGTCTACTCTCGAAATTGTTCTCCGTAATGATTCCGGAACGTCGCTTCCTGCTTCTAGACATGCAGGACGATGGGGTCACAAGGGAGCAGACGACTCCGACAACGTATCATCTATAATTTCCGTACATTGTGGGACGTTTCCCTGCAACTGGAGGTTGGAACTGGTGACTCCACAAATAAAGCGGTGAATGAAGAGCACGAAAGGTCGCACGTCTCCGATTTGCTGATCTGGAGCACACCTGGATGCTGCTTTGCAACGTATCTTCGGCATACAGGGTGCGCCGGGTGCCTGCGCCACTCATGGATGTCATGTTTCTAACTTGATTCCATGCCCATCGTACTTCGTGCACTCCAGCCGCCCGATGACTCCGGGACAGGTTGCCCATGCTTCAAGGCCTTGAGGCAGTCATCGAAGCCTGCTCTCACAGGCGATCGAGATTCCAGGGAGCCTTCAGGAGATGAGTGGGGAGAAGTGCCCTGTCACGGCAGCTTGTCTCAGAGGAGATCGTCATAGCTCAGTGCATAGACCTCTCCGACGTTGCTCGTGATTTGTGAGGCACGCTCTGGTACTTGCCCAGTCCAGCCGAAGCGAGCCAAGACCGAGGCCTGGAGAGTAAGTCACTGAGTGTGAACATCAGCGCCACCAATCGGGCATATAAGTTGAAACGGGTCACATCAAACAGGCTTCCTTGAAGGCTTTCGTGATCTTTCGTGCTCTGGTCTGACAAGACTAGGACTGGCTGGAGAGCATCGTTCGACAAGTGGCATCAATTGTTGGTCGGCCATGGAACGGGACGCCTGAGTATGCCGAGCTCGTCCTCAACAACTGGTCTCTTGTCATCGTATATATATATATATTATATATATATATACATATATACATACAGTTATACATAAGAGCTGTGTGTTGTCTTCGCCACCCGCTCTTGGAGCAGGGTAGGATTGCACCACCTTTCCAGAGCCTGCGAAGTGCGCCGATTACTCGGATCCTGCGGTGACCGATGCAGATGCACAGCAGCTGAGGTATGTTTCGCCAAACGATATTACGAGCGAGGATGAGTTGTTCGTCATCAATCGCCAGACCATCCAGCAGGTTCATCCCGTTTGATGCCTGACTTGATAACATGCGAAAGTTGCAGAACCCGAAGACGGTCCGTCTTTTCTTGCTGCACTTCGCAGACCTCACTTGTCGCTAGCTACACTCAAGTCTACGCAGCTTCGTGGGATGGTGGGCTAGAGCACAGAGGAACCTGCACCGATGGTGCTCTTATGTGCCACAAGGAAAAGCATTGGAAAATCTGGAAGCCAGGCACATGTCAGCTTTCCCGTGAGACAGTGTCACACTGCGCTCTGTCTGGACGAGCACATACAGCTCAGGTCGGTTTCTGGCGCTGCCCGACGAGGACCTCTTTGGAACCTAACTCTCGAACACATGCGCGTGGGTTGGCAAAGCGACCGCTCTAGCAGCGACTTCACGAGCAAATCCGTCTGTCCTGTGTGGTCGGCCTTGCAGCAAACGGTGACGGGACATGAGCCGAGAGCAGGAGTGGCACCGGAAGCTGCACATCCTCCTGGAGGCCGAGGGCGGCCGTGCAGTGGCTGCAGCCTACAGGCGCACGAAGAGGGGCTGCCGAAACATGGGAGCTTTTCGGTGACAGTCTCGTGCGGGCAGGGACTTTTCCTGTGGATGTGCGATTAGAATTCGGCTCCCCTGCTCGAAGCGGATGTTTGTCGAGTCCCGTGCGAAGACTCACAAGCATGTCAATCTATGTCAATCTCCCATGAAGGACTGCACAAGACGGATTCACGGATTACTGCAAGTGCAGGAACATATATTGGAACATGTCCTTTCGTGGATCTCAAGTGTTGTTCCACATTCATCGTCGGCAAAGCAGATCGCACATAATGTCAAACAACCTTTGCAGTTGAACACAAAAGGGTGGCGAAAATCACAGACTCAGCCAGCAACGCGACTCACCGCAGGTGCTGCTCCATTGGACACATATACTTTCTGGAACAAACCCATGAAAGAGGATCACAAAATTCATTAGGCAGAATGCTGCTTTCCTTGACTGCGTGACCATGTTCTATGCCTGCAAGTCCACATGCTACAGCAGAGCATTTTCAGATAATTGACGGTTCCAGACACCGAACTTGAGGACATGTTCCTCTGTGCTGGCCAGGATTTTCCCAAGTTACTGTACCAAGACGTTGAGTACCTGGCTAATCCGTTCCCGTCCCTTCCCCTAACATTAAACGGGAGGGGGGGGTTTTCCCCCAATCAAAAATCGGAAAGTGTCTTGATTATTAGGCTAATCATTATGGGGGAATTTGTATCTCTGCTGTCACTTTTGAGGTATTTTGCTCCTGCTCTGATTTTTGCTCCCGCGCTGGCCTTTGCTCCTGCTCCTGCTGCTTCTCTTGCTATCGCTTTGCGCTTGCTGGTGCTCTTGCTATTGCTCCTGCTATAGGGTTTAAGGGGCAGGGATGATCTCGGAAGGATTGGCCCCAAATTGTCTTTATTGTTAGGGCGCGTTCGGTACATGAAGGAAGCGGTGTAGTCCATTATTTCCTCCCTCTGGGTGGAGTTGTTTCCCTGTGCCGAGCTGGTCAGGTCTCTTCGGGCAGCTCTTCCAGCGAGAGATAACGATGGGGTGGGTGCAGCCCTGAACCAGCAGCCTGGACTTGAAACACACTTAGCATTGACAGGCGCACAAAAGCGCCGGGATCCCCTCAGGTTGGCAGCCGACATTGATTCGCTCACAGAGCCTTGGCACTGCGGCCATGCGGCGTGTGTTGCTGTCGGGAAAGGTAGCAGCACAGACATTCCGACACGCAAGGAATTCCAGCGGGACCAGTTCAATCAGAAGGATTGCCGAGGGGAAGCACTCATGATTTCGCGCCTGCGGAAGTATTCCTACCCAGACCTTCAGATGGAAGAGCTTGCCGTCTGGATCTACACGGAAGGCCCGGGAGATGCGTGAAAGGTCGAGGCTGAACAACATGTCAAAACACGTCCTACTCCTACTTGTACTGTATGCTTAAATCTCGCCTAATATGGTGCACCTTCGGAGAGATTTGTTTTAATTACAGAAGAAGGGCCTGTTCGTGAGACCCTGGGCTGAGGGAAGGGAACCTGTAACTGTCAAAACAGACCGATTGCATGCGGCTGGCACGGAATTCCTTTCAGAAGCAACTGCCGAAACCGCTTTGGAGGCTCTGTGTCTTGGAGTGGAAAAGGGTAGTGCCCTGCAGCGTTTAGTTTAGGTTTTGACAGCTGGCCATAATTGCCTGGCAGCGATCCAGGGAATGGGCTGGCGTGCGTGGGGCCAGCGGAGGTCGTGGGACGCCTTCTTGTGTGTGGCCCTGTGCGTAGGGCGAGGGCTGTGGAGACAGCCTTTGGAACTTTGTGAGGCGACTTGGCAGGGCCGGAAGGGGCCGACCGCAAGAGTCGGGACGGTCTCGAATACGTACCCGCCCGTCTTCGAGGCCCGGGCTCAGGAATCCTATCAGGAATGGAAGCGCGGTGTGAAGTTCTGGATAGGAGGTGAAGGGACGCAGCTTCCTCAAGAGCCCATCGGCCCTCGGACGATGGTCCAGCGGCCCAGCAAGGACGTCATCTTCCGTGAGTTGGAGAAATCTCCGTTGATCAAGCAGGTGGACCGGCACCGGGTCGACGAGCATCGGAGGCAGCTGATGCAGTTGTCAAGGGCGACCGGGGAGTCCATGGAGAGTTACATCACGAGGGCCGGCGTCTACAGGAGCCACTTGTTGGGAGTGGACCCAACGGTGGTGATGGGGGAGGCCTTTTATGGGGGCCACTTGGTGGATCATGCCCGGCTGACCAAGCGGGACCGGGCTATGATAAAGACGAAGGCGGGTGACTTTACAGATGAGTTCAAGGTCACCTCGGCGATGATTGAGCTGGTTAGCGAGCTGGACGGTGAGCCTGGATATGCAGTGGGCCAATCCGAGCCGGCCTCGGCTCGGAATGGCGGAACCGGGGCGTCTTTGTTGAGGACATCATCGAGCAGAAAAGGACTTGGACTTGCTGGAGGAGCCAGGGGCAGGGACCTGGTTCCCGCGGGTACAAGGGGAAGCAGAACATTGCAGAGTTCAAGAAGTCACGCCAGTACTACCCAAAGCCGGACACTGAGGAGAAGAAGAAGTGGCTGGCCGAGAAGTGCTTGCGGGCAGTTTGGCCACTGGAGCAGGGAGTGTCCTACGAAGGTGCAGGCGGCATTGGTGACACGCTCCCGAATGCTCGTCAGGACTGGCGATGGCGGGCCCAATGCCTCCCAGACTGGTGGAGTCGTTGTGCTCCCAAGGAGGTGTTTCCGGAGCTTCGCTGCAGGGGCAATACATGAGGGCTCGTCTGTCTGCAGTGCCTCATCCCAGCACCCTGCCCGAAGTTACCATGTGTTGAGTACCGTGAGCATGGCGCTGCATGATGTGTGTTGGTCTCTAAAGCAGTTGGCGTTCAAAGTCATTGTGGACATTGGGTGCATGCGGTCGATGGTGGGGGTCGGCTGGGCTACGGAGGTCTTGAATCGATGGCGGGATGAAGGTGGCATCGAGTCAACAAGGAGTCGGAGGCTTTCGTTTTGGGGACAGGGAAGTGCTCTACAGTCGCGACCGCGTCGAGTTCGTCGGGGCGTTTGCGGGCGAGGCGGTGGTGTTCGGCTTCAGCGTGGTGGAGGGAGTGTGTCCACCCTTGTTTTCACGCACCGGCTGCACGCAACCTGGGGTGGTGTTTGACTGTGAGCATCATACTATCTCGTCTCGAAAGTTGGGGGTGAAGTCGTATGGCTTAGGCAGGGAGGAGGGGCACTACGCGATTTGCATCGATGAGCCATGCAGCAACATGTCAGCTGTGTCTCTGCCTAGCGATTTCCGACTGCCTGTGGGAACCGATGCGATGAAGTTGTCTTGTGAAGTTTTGCTCGAGAGCGAGCGTGTGATGGACAACATGGTTCGCCCGCCTCAGGCCACGCCTCGGTGTTTGGGGCCCCGGACTTGGTGATCACTGACGCCGGCCCGGAGTTTGCAGGACAGGTCCAAATGTTGGTGGAGCTCTTTGGCATGGTTCACGAGATTGTGCCAGAGGGTGCGAAGTGGCGGATGGGATTGGGCCTTGGCGGCCTTTTCGGCCAAGAGCAGGACTTGCAAAACAAAGGCGGTGTGTCGCCCACGCAAGCGGTGACGGGTCGAAGCACCGGCTCCTTGATCCAGCAGATCAGCACGGGCTGGATCCGCTATCAGTGCAACGAGGCCATGGACACGAATGAGGCTTTGCAGCGGTCAGTGGAGGCCTTCCACTGGCTGGACGCGCGCACCGCGTTACGGCGGCGGCGGGCTCTCACGTCTCGACCCCGTGCCCCCACATTGAATTGGAGGGCATCCGCGAAGGGGCCGTGGTATATGTGTACGACCCTCCAGCCAATTGGCGCGGACAAGCTCGGCGACTACAAGATCTGCCTCTTGGTCTTGGGCCGGGAGTCATTGTGTGTGTGTGTGTGAAGCGAGATCTCCAGTGCCACACCGTCTGTGGGTGCACTTGAAAGGAAGGGTCAAGGCCTGCGGATCTTTTTGGAGAAGGTTCGGCTGGCTACGCTGGGTGAGGTGGCGAGATTTCAATTTCGTGGAAGCTGACTTTCGAAGACCTTGAAGATCCTATAGTGGGCAACCTGCAGCACGCGCAGCTCGAGCAGCATGAGGCGGGGAACCAGGCGTGCGATTCGGAGGCCGAGCGGCGCGAGGAGCGGGCCAAACTTCTGGACGATGTCCCGGTGGCTATGACGAAGTTTGCAGACCGGCGCAAGGCAGAAGCTTGGACTTCGCCAAGCAGAAGCGGAAGCTCCTCGAGCGTCTGGCCAAAGACTTGGTCCGCGACCACTTGTCGCAGATCTATGGGAAGTTCAATTAAGTACGCAAGGTCGGTCCTCCAGAAGACGAAGAGTGGTGGACGCGTACGCGGCGGTGGGAAGGCGGGCCAGGCGGGCCCAAATCTGGAAGCCAACCGGCACGCCCGAGTCGTGCTCCTTGCGGAGGAGGTGGACATCAGTCAGTCACTATATTTGCGCCCACACACCGCCGGCTACTGCAACTTGTGGACTTGTGGAGTGCTTGGCTCAAAATGGTCGTGCTGGGCTGCAGGAGATTGCAGCCACCTTCCGCACTGACTGCCGAGCAGGAGGGGGTTGCTGCGGGGTTGCTGAGGTGAGACTGGCAAGGCCCACATCGAGTATTGGTGGTCCGCCCTGGATGAGGAGTGGCGGAAGGCTGTTGTTGAGCCGCTGAAGCAGGCCGTGGGCGTCTACTTGGAGCACAAAGGGCGTTCCCCGCGCTCAAGTGGTGGTCCCAAAACGCGTGCTGAGCAGCCGTTTCGTGCTCACCAACAAAGGGGAGGAGGACCTCAAGGCTGCGGTGCTCAAGGCGCGCTGGATCTTTGGTGGCCGTCGGGATCCGGATGCTGGACTTTACGCTACGAGTTCACCGACGGCGAGGACCTTGGCACACAACCGAACTTCCTGGCGGTGCAACAGGGTTGGACGGTGCGCTACGAGGATGTGAGCACTGCCTTTGTGCAAGGGAAGCAGCTGCCTCGCTCCGAGAAAGTGTACGCCAAGGTGGTGCATGGTTATCCGGACGAGGTCTTAGCCTTCTTGATAAAGGGCCGTGGAGGCGATGTGCGAGGCGACCTCGTGGAACTGACGAAAACAGCTTTCGGTTTGCCGGAGAGCCCGAGGCTATGGGACCTGGAGTACAAGGACGCCATCGAGGAGCTCGGGCTTAAGGAGTTGGTGGTGGTGCCGTCGCCGTGGTGCCAGGCTTGTTCCGCGCGTTCCAGCCGATGGACGTTTGAGAGCGCTGGCTTCGATCCATGTGGAGGACACGAGGTACGCTGGCGACTCCACCAGTCAGGTGCAGTGGGATCAGCTGCATCAGCGCTTGAAGTTCGGAAAGCACCGCCAGGCAACCGAAGGGCCGAAGGGTGGCAGAAGTTCTGTGGCAGGTGGGAGCGGCAGTCCGACGAGACCTTCGAGATGCAGATCAGCATGCAAGAGTACATCAAGACCATCCCGTTGGGCAAGGGTCGAGTGGAGCTGCAGGGCAACGTGCCTCCTACCTCAACTTCCGCAGCTCCAACTACGGCGAGTTCAGAATCGACTTCTACATCAGCTTCCGGGGGTCCATCTACTGCGAGTTCAGGATCGACTTCTACAGTCTACATCAACTTCCGTGGTCCTCCTACGTCGAGTTCAGGATCGACTTCTACATCAACTTCCGGGGGTCCTCTCGATAACAGTTCATTGGTCTCGGTTCCATGGGCGACGAGGGGGCCATTCAGCTGATGCACGACAGGGTGGTGGGTGCCGACATGGAGCCTGAACTCACAACAGATGAGAGGAAGCTCATTGGTTCCGTGGTTGGCCGGCCCGTCAAGGAAGGTACGACTTGGCTTTTGGGGCATCCTTGATTCAACAGCTGAGCGGGCATGGCAAGGCAGAGGCACTTTGAGGCACTCAAGTGGGTGAACACAGTGGTGCGTCGTGCCCGCGAGGAGGTCGAGGTGGTCATCCGAAAGTTCGATCGCGACCTTGCGGACCTCCTGGTGGTGTCAGTGAGCGATGCCGCTTATGGTGCGATGCCGGCAGGGGCAAGCCACGGGGGAACCATGGTCATGTTTGCTGAGCCTGCCATCTTGAGTGGCCCTGGAGCGGTCTGCATCATGGAAGCCAATAGCACGAAGATCCACAGAGTGGTTCGGTGCTCTATGTCAGCCGAGGTGAGCTCTCTGGCCACGGCGTTCGAGCATGGCGACTACGTGCGGGCCGTGCTGGCTGAGGTGTTGGATCCAAACTTCAGGATCGAGCGCCGGAAGTTGTCGGCGGCCAAGTGGCGACATTTGGTGGTCACCGATGCCCGGACCGGCTACGACGCAACATCTTCCGAAGTGCTGCCTTCTGATCGAAAGATCGCGGTCGATGCTGGGGTTTTGCGCCAAGGCTTACTGGAGCCCTCTGCGAGAACTACATCCGATGGGTTCCGGGCTCCGAGATGCCGGATGCCTGGAGACGGCTTGACAAAATGGTCGCACAACCAGATGCAGACTCGCGTGATGCAGACCGGTAGCTGGTCTCTCGTGGGCACTCCAGAAGCTCAAGCTCTTCGGAAGTTAGCAAGCACTGAACGGGCCATCTGGCGAAGCCAGGCGAAGGCCAAGAAGATTTGCCTGCCGTGACTGCACAGTTTACCGAATGCACTCTACCAGTGGGGGTTTGTGTCAAAGCAGACCGATTGCATGCGGCTGGCACGGCATTTCTTTCAGAAGCAACCGCCGAAGCCGCTCTGTAGGCTCTGTGTCTTGGAGTGGAAAAGGGGAAGAGTACATGAAGGGTTTCGAATAAAAACATTGAAGAATGGCAAGCGTATAACTGGACCCAAAACGTGAAACATTTGTCACAAGGAACAACATTCGCTATTAACGGTGGAGGGAACGATAAACTACGCAGCTCTGTTCATGGCTGTCTCACAGAGTCCATGTGACAGACAGCTCATTACGTAGAATGCCGCCTTAGAGGGCCGGGTGAACTAGGCAGCAAGTATTCTGCAACGGTCCCCAGGAAGTTCGCCGCTTCTTCCGGCTTTACACGCCATTCTCGGCCTGCGCAAGCTGGACGGCATTTCTGGGCCGTTACAGGAGCACTGGCAAAGCCAGGGTCGGCTGTGTATGGCCGAATCTCATAGACAGCGTCTGGGCGTCACGCAGCATAACCCTCATGTTTTCTGCTACTTTGCGACCAGAAACTTTCATCGGCTGCAGTGGTCGCATCAGGTTTCTTGACTGCCTCGAAAGCGGGATGTCAGTGCGCGCCTACTGCCTTCAAGTCTGGAGATACCTGCCTGTGGAAACGATCGCGGCGCTTGAAGATGCGCTTCTTGTCACAGCCTCCGATGTCTTTGTTGCATCGTGTAAAGTTGTGGTGCTTGACCTGTGCAGAGCATTCAGTATAATCGCATGTCGATTTCTGCCAAAATGTGCCAGAGGGGAGTCCAGGGGCCACCAAATGAGAACACACATTTTGCCAAAAGTGACCAGCACCATCTGTTGTATCGACGTGGGACACAATGACACTATGCTCAACTGCAAAGAAGCTTTGAGGAAGCACAGCGACTGCCCGGTGTAATTCAACATCCTTTTGATTGTGCCGCACAAAAGGCCTCAAAAAGCCTTGCTGAGTGCCCCAGCCGCCGGAATACGAGTCGCTGCCCATTTACAGGCACACAGCTTGAGCACAAACTTACATTGTGTGCGGGAAATTCTTTCATCTCTGGCGTTGTGCAGCTTTCAGACAGGCTTCCCGTGCAACAGGGGCACAAGCTTATGCGGACTCAGAGACGTCGCGATACAGTTTGTACAGTCTCGGAACGATAGTCTTGCCCACTGCTTCAGTTCGTTTTTTGGGAGCAGCTTGTGATTGATGATGATGTTGCATGCCGGAGGCTGTGTAGCTTGGAACATTTATTCATAACACGAAGGGTGCTTCCTTCACTAATGTCGCGCTTTCATGTCGCTCACAGCTCATTTCTGTAACTGCAGGTTGGAGCAGGGGGTTTGCGTGTATGTCGTGTGTGTGTGCGCTGGATTCACAATGCTCTTGGCAGCCTAGGTTCAACAACTGTATTGAGGCGCTTCTGAGATACTGCTCTGTGCGGCAGAGGTTCGTCAGCCGAGTGTCGCCGGTCGTTGATTCCAGCACAGGGAGTCTCGTTGTTCTCTTCCCATTCTTCCCATAAATGGCAGCTCCATAAAACCCTAGCATAGACCCTGGCCCTAAAGGGTAGGATGCCCGAAATAAGCAAGGCACAGGCACAGAAAGCCCCACCCGTTGACGTTCCTCACGGCTGCCTTTGTACGACTGGTAGCCGAGGCTGCCACGGGTTGGCCACATTCAGACACTGAGTGCCAAGCAAGAGAACGTCATTCGAGCAGGACAGCTTGCACGCACTGTCCAGATGAGAGGTTCTCTTGGAGACATCGTGGGATGAGGCAATTATCGTACATTTGTCGTCTTGCTTTGCACTCCGCATCCGCATGCCTCGGAAGGACGATTGGCTTTGCTGCAGATGCGGCGAGTTGCGGATGCACAGCGCATGCAGTGCCCGTTCCGCAATTCGGACATACTGTATAATTCCGACACGACGATGCTGAATCGAGTCTGCCCTTCCGCCAACCTCCATACTGGTGCTAGATATAGAACATGCGGATCAGAGGCTAGATCCGTAGAAGATCAGCCGACATGCCCGCAAGTTTCAATATCTGATGAACAGAGCTGCGTTTCCAAAGACAAACGCGCTGCGAATCACAAGGAGGGCACACGAAGCTGGGAAAGGGGCACGATGCGGTGGAACAGGGAAGCCCGACCCGAAGTCAAGCCCGAAGCTTGGTAGCGTGACAAGGGCTTGGAGACCCATGCAAAGGAGGCTGCACAATGACTACTGTAAGAGGGCAGCGCGTCCTTCCAACTGCGAGGCAATGTTGACCCCAAAGTGCGACAGAGCACCGACCTAGCAGTCCAAGCACGCCAAACAGCAGCAGGAGCCCATCGGCTCACGGAACAAGCATTGGACTATGGCGGGAACACAAGTTCTACTCCACCACTGTTGTGGGAGCGCGATTTTGGGAGGTGGACATGTGCAGATATGAGCGGTACTGTGGTAGGAGCGTGATTCAAGCAAATTGTACAGCACCACAGCACCGCTGAAGTGTTAGAACGAGAGATGAGATGGGCATCCAGGATACGTCCTGGGTCGCAGGATCATGGAAAGAACGTTGTGAGTTGAAGTTGGCTGCGCTTTGCATCGCAGTGGAGCTGCGGCACCGCTGTGCCGGCCGGGCCGTGGGGGACTGCGATCTAATCCTTTTTAGCCTGCCCGGAAAGTGTTTCCACGCCGTGAGCAGCTGATCTAAACCGGTCACCCGTCATGTCGAGTCCCACTTTCAGGTTGGCCAACGAGGCGATGACCGGCCTTCTTCCCACTTGAAGCCTGAAGTCAGGCGGTTCCGCTTCAGAGTGGACACAACATTCCACGGTGGCCTGGAACAGGTTCTGCTGTGCAATCTGGTGATTTTTGTGCTGGCAGGGCTGCAGCTTGCGGAGGTTATTCTGCTATGCAGCGTTGCAGCTGCAATTCCTGACAGCATCTGGTTTCGCTGCCTAGCAAGAAAAGACAAAAGCCAGATTTTCAAGCCCAACAAAGCAGAGAGAAGAAGGCCTTACAGCTGCTGCATCGTGCCAGTCCAGAAAACACTGCCTTGGCTCGAATGTGCAGCAAGGAGAGCCAAAAATACGACTGCAGTTTGGGTTTAGGGTTTAGGGCCCTCGTGAGTCCCCACGAAAACAGATCATGTCCAACGCTAAGGGAACAGCGTCGGGAGTACACGAGTGTTTGGATTCCGGGTGTTCTTTGCCGACCCCCCGTTGGGCGCCTGTGGGTTCGCTTGCTCATGCAGTTTCGTCGAACTTGCCTGGTGTTTGTTTGTGGGTTTCTGCAGTACAATGCACAGATTGAAATTTTAACTCGAACAACAGGGAGATGCTCTGCTTTACCGTTTTAGCACACTCAGAATGTATCAGTTCGAGTTGTTGAGCACAGAATTTGAACGTCGCACGGTCTGGAACAGCTTTGCGGCTTAGTCAGTTGCGCCAGAACAACAGCAGGTGCTTGACCCGGCACCACGTTTTCTCCGGAGATAGCATTCAGAGCCTTCAGACATCTCTCAAGCCAAGTTCATACGCTAACAGTGGTCATAGCCTTGTGCTTTGTCCATCAATCGCTAGCCGGCATTGCCGCCAATCCCCACATGCGCCTTGGCTGGAAAGCTTGTCAACGAAAAGCTTCACAGGTTGCTTAAACTGCTCAGAAGGTGTCTTTGATCTTTCGCGCGTTGCCCGTGCTGCGAAACCCAGGTCCTGGTTTCCGCCAGGCCTGAATCGGACGGTCTCAGCACTTGCCTGCGGAGACTTTCGTACGGATGCCCTGCTGATGCTTCACATTTGTAGCAACTAGCAGCAATGTGGCAGAATCGCAGCCTTGGTAGGTTTTCTGCAGACCACGTCTGCGCCCAAGCTTCGCCTGTGATCTGCACATACTCTGCGCGAGCTCGACCACCCACCTGCTAATTCGCAAGCGCATCATGTTCCGTGATCTGCTCAATGCCCTGGAGGTTAATTACGCGTGTGGGTTTGTACGGGTGTTTGTTGAGACTGGAGTTTTCTCGGAGATTCCACCCGAAACTGGTGAGTCAGTTTTTGTACGTTGAGCACTGCTCTAAGCATGCGCTGGCCAGGTTTACAAGCAGCGAAGTTGCTTTGCAGGACTTCCTCGGAACCGCCGGTGCCAACCTGGCCTCATCGATTGCATGTGACCCCTGTCGCCAGGATGTGGTTCTGGTCTCTGCGGAACGATTACCAGAGGGCTTTGAAAGCTTCCCAGCAGCAGCTCATGTCTTCTGTGGGGCCATGCTTCGAGACGACGCGAGTTTCCTCTGCTGTCTCCAAGGCTCGAAGCAGCCAAACTTCAGTTAGCCTCACTCAGGATGGCCGCTGAAAGTCGTTGCAGCATCCGACTATCCTGCTGACGGGCTGCCGAATGCACCACAGCTGCCGTGATAAAGGGCATGGGCTGGGTTCACGTGCTGCATCGAATGCTGCCCTATGGCGTTCAACTTCCTGTGAACATCAAGAAAGTCATGCCCATGCTCCGTGATTTCTCTGCTTCTGCTAGTGGAACATGGGGACCAACTGTGCTGGCAGTCGTGTGTCACGTAATAATCACTTGTCACGTAATAATCACTGGCCAACCGCCAGGTTTATCTTCACGGCCCCGAGGAGGAAGCACCGTCCTGAGTGTATGTCACGGGGATGGGGTGCTGCGGAGCCGCATCGATGTTTCAGATGTTTGAAGTCTGTCTTTTGGACTTTGGCCGGGTCTTTTGCGCCTCAAAGAACTTACAAGTACAGCAGCGAGCATCGATGTTGCACTGGTGTTAGCTTACTTCGAATGCAGCCTTCGCGAGATCCTGAAGCAACTATGAAATCCGTCTACAACATGCCATTGATTATATTGTCTTGTATACGGCATCCTTCAGAAAGACACACGAAAGGTCCAAGCACTCGCGGCCCGTTCGCCAGTCCTCGGCTGCTTCTCCGAGGAGTGAAACAACACAGAAGCAGTACTGGCCGTTTGTCACGATTGCTGACCAATAGTGTTTGCACACATTGCTTGCAAGGGTGATCCTTCGCTAGGAAGTGTGAGTTCTTCCTTTGGACAACTGCTCTGGGTCTAACGTGCTCGACGCGTGCTGGCAGGACATTGCATGGGAAGAGCTGATACGAGAAATTAGCTCCAGGTGGACCCTTTCTGCTTGGCATTCTTGGCTCGGTACTGTATTGCACTCGCAGTCCGTTATTGCCTGGCAATCTCATCCTGCCCTGCGGCCTTATGTAATATTCGTTCGCAGTTCAAGAGCTATTTGTTGCAGGCATGTCCTCACGATCCAAGAGATGATCCTGAGGCACGCTGAGAAAATTGCATCACCCGTGCCCGGGGTTGACCCCACAGCCCAGAGCACAAGCCGTGCAATCTACAGGCAGGCGAGAAGAACACCCAAACAGGTGGCTCTTATTTTCGAGGACACTGCGACCCGTCATGCCGCGCTGATGGCGAGATGCATGTTCAACTTGGGTGTGATTTGGGTGCACGAATCATGCACTGCTTCATTACATGGCTATGTAGCTATTTACCTGAAGGACAACGAGTGGACCTACGAGCAATACTGCTCTGCTGCGTGCAGTTTGAGAGACACTTGCAAGCTCCGACCGCGGAGACGAAGAAGCAGGGTGTATGCAGTGCATTATGAAGTCCCCGAGCACTGCAGTGTTTCGTCCCAGAGATCGGGACATGAAGTTGCGCACGGTCAGATGGTCAGATTAGTCAGATGTTGCTGGGCAGCTAAGGATTACTTGCTCAGCCAGGGATTGGATCCCTCAGCAGGCGCACGTCAAAAAACCTTCGCCAATTGCACGAGCTTTGCCATTCAATTGTGGGACGTCACCTTTCTGCGCAGTCCGTAGAAAGATGTAGAAGCATCGAGTCACATAGTCACATGTTCGATTGCCAAACCTCCCAATCAAGACCGGCTGCAATGCAACCCGATGAAGGCCCCGTGGGTGTGAGAATCGATGCGTCAGACCTGGGCAGCATAAGCCGCGACGAGCCAATTTAGTATGTAGCAAGGCCATTAGTGCATCTTTGTTTTGAGAGGTCAAGGTTAAAGATGTCCCAATGTTCACGTGCCACCGGAGCCTGGTATTATGATGACGCTGCTGCTTTTCTATTAGGTCGATGCCCGCAAGAGTGACACAATTGACAAGCTACAGAGATCTACAGAGCTGCCTGGCCGGCCGATCTGGCCAGTTCAACCCTCGTCAAGCTCAGGCCACATGGCCTTGCTGTCGGGCCGCTTCGTCATCCATGTTCTAGCATCCCGGCTGCCAGCTGCCATGCGATGCATGGACACATGTCTCGTTGCAAACTTGTCAGATTGATCAGTGCACGCAGCATGCTCATGTATGGCTACAAAACCTTCCTACCCGGCTCTTCAGAACGGAATCTGAGCAAAGGACGCTGGTCATGCCAGCCAGAAGTTCCGCCTAGACAATCTTCCCTCTCAGGCGCAGTCTTGAAGTTGCAACCAACATTAAAGGCATTCTTCAGATCGAGTGTCAATGCTTGTGAAACGGTATTGTCGGCGCGCAGAGACAGGGATCCCACCCGTCGAGTGGGATATCAATCACGCTGGACATCGGAAGACTGGTAAGCTGTCGCCTGGCCGTAGACTGTAGCACGGATGCGCCAGGCGCTGCTGACGATTTCAGGCAGGTCGGGCCTGGACAGGGCGATGCAAAGAACAAATACAGGCTGTAAGGCTGACTGCGGTGAACGTTGCTGTCTTACTCAGCACAAACCTGGCAAGAGCTGGCACAGGCAAACTTGGCAGAAGTTGCGAGAAATGATGAGGGATCACCGGCCCACAGTGGCCCACATCATAATTATGCGTGCTTGTGCAGGAACGAAGACCAATGAGGCGGAGCCCAGTTTTGCCAGGGTCCTGGATTCAACTCACGGCGGTAGCTATGTTGGACCAGTTGGTGCACGATGCCCAATACCGCCAGAAGCTAGCAGCTGCTGTAGCCTTTGTCACATCACGCAGGCCGTGAGAACCTTCTACGTCGATCAGATCCTCGTCTTGGAGATCTGTAGAGTCGGGGCGCGAGGTCACGCGAAGCATCGCGAAGCTGTCGGCGTCTTTTTGATTTTGCCGTGCTCAGGATTCCGCTCGACCGGAGCAGGTCTCCTTCTTCGCTCAGTGTGAAGGGACACTCTGC